TCTGCTCCTTGATTGGGGTGGGGTGCAATGTGAAGCAAACTGGAAACTGAGATTTGAAGGTAGAGAAGACGAAATATAAAGGAAAGGCAAGCCACAGGGTGCCACGGGGGTGGAAGGGACTTGAGGACTCTAAGCAGCTGGCAGATGTCAAAAATGGGTAATCCTTTTTTTGGCAGGTGTCCTTCAAAAAAAAAAAAAAAGACAGCTGGTTTCTCTGTTTCTCAAGGGACCTCAAAATAGAATGACAGGATTTAACATAATGATAAGTTATTTTACATATATCTATAAAAATCTATGAACAGCTTCTTTCTCCTTAGCATTTCAAAGCCACTTTAGCACAGCAAGGCCTGTAATCTCAGCCCTGACTCAAGTGGAGGCCAAAGGCTCAACCGTTCAAAGCCAGCCTGGGCTACATGAGACTCTTGTCTCAAAAATAAAAGCCACCTTAAGCATATTGATAGCACAAACTAGTAGGCAGGAGATGGGCATTACAATCTTACTTTGAAGCAGAAAATTAAGATGTAAAAGTAACGTATTAACAGCTAAAATACCATAAATACAAGTATGGAGGTATCACTGTGCAGATGGTTTGCAGATTTTGAAAGAAAACACACTTTAAAAAATTAATGTGATGGGCTGGAGAGATGGCTTAGTGGTTAGGAGCTCTTGGTACCATTCTAGAAGACTTTTTGTTTGTTTGTTTTTTAATTGAAGAGGACTGGGGATTTTATTGTAGAGTGCTTACCAAGCATCCACAAAGCCCAGAGTCCAAGTCCCAGCACCACAAAAAGCCTGGTATTGTGGTCACACCTGTGACTTTAGCAGGTGGAGGTAGGAGAATCAGAAATGGAAGGTCAGCTACATTATTTGAGACCAACATAGGCTAGAAGAGACCAGTCTCCTCCCGGAAAAGGGCACTGGGGGTATAGCTCAGTGGTAGAGTCCTTGCCGACTGTGTGTGGAGTCGGCACCTGAGTTCAGTCACCAGTACTGGAAATGTGAGGCAGTCTGCACAACTTTGCCGCCGGCCCTAAATAGGGAAGTTTCCCCTCTAGAGGTCTTGCAGACTAGGAGGTGATTTCACAGGTGCCTCTGGCAGTGTGCACTCAAGCTGTGACCTGCAGATGTAAACGTTATCAAGGCTCTATCATGGAACGGGTTGCTGAGTCAGGGTTTTGTTGGGACTCCTAAATGCCGCTTGTCCTTCCATTCTGTCAGTCATTCTCTCTACAGTCATTGCAAGTGATCTTCTGAATTCCGAGGGAGGTAGCAGCATTTACACATTGTTAGAAATGCCGTCTCATTCCATTAGCTAAACATTAAAACATGGTTTTTTCATGCTTATGTCACAGTATGTATGTGGAGTTTGGAGGTCAACATCCAGGGGTTGAGGGTTGAGTCTCTCCTTTCACTCCGTGGTCCCAGGGATTCAATTCAGGTGTCAGGCTTAGCAGTGCGCAGTTTAACTCGATGAGCCAGCTTGCCAACCCCACACAATCTGTTTTTCTGTTTGCTTTTTTGTAGTACTGGGAACTGAACCTAAGGCGGCACACAAGCTAAGCAAACATTCCAGCACTAAGCTATGTTGTATTTCTGTCCTGGCCAAACTTGCTTAAGCTTCCAGGAGATCATTGACTCCAGTTCAGTCCCATGTTCCCTGTTCCACTCTTGAATTGTTTGTTGGCTGTAATTTTTAGCTTTTCTTGGTCAGAAGTAGGTTTTTATTTGTTTTGTTTTGAGACAGCATCTCATGTGGCCCATGCTGACCTTGAACTCACTTTCTGAGGGTGGCCTTGAACCTTGTAGGTTCTGGGATTACGAGTGTACAACAAAGCCAGCTTCTGTCCTTATTGTCTGAGGGTTTGGCAGGTCCAGGCAGCATTCCCCTGGGCCTTTGAGCTTCTGCTTTTGTCCATTCATGCAAAGGACCACTTCCAGTTTGTCTCAGCTCAGCAGATCTGTGACACTGAGCTTCTCCTTATCCTCTGCAGGGTCAATGCTTGTGATTCTCAATGGAGAGTGAGAGCATAGCTTCATGATGAGAACCAGCCCCCGTCGGCCACTGATTCTCAAAAGACGGAGGCTGCCCCTTCCTATTCAAAATGCCCCAGGTGAGACACCAGAAGAAGCAAAGAGGCCCCCTGCCCAACAGGAGCCTACTCAAGCACAGGCCTCCCAGGAGGTGGCAGAGTCCAGTTCTTGCAAGTTTCCGGATGGAATCAAGATTATCAACCACCCCACCATGCCCAACACACAAGTGGTGGCCATCCCCAACAATGCTGACATCCAGAGCATCATCACCGCACTAACGGCCAAAGGCAAAGAGAGTGGCAGCTGTGGACCCAACAAGTTCATCCTCATCAGCTCTGGGGGGACCTCATCTCATCCTCCTGGTCCGCATCCTCAAGCCCAAACCAGCCATGATTCCAAGAGGACAGAAGTGGTCACGGAGACATCGGGAACAAAGCCAGCAGCTAAGGGTGTGCCTGTTCCCAAGCCATCTGGAGCCCGTCCAAGGCAAAGACAGGAAAGCTGTGGTATGTGGTTTGTAAGGCAAAGGTGTGGAGGCTGGCCCTTCTCACGGGTAAGGCCTGCCTGCAGTCAGTCATGCTGAGTCTGTGGTAGAGAGGAATCTAGGAGGGATGGAGGCAAAGGCTTTTCTTTATCCTGAAACCTTGAGCAGAACATCTGGGCACTGTTGAGAGGATTACAGTGATGTAGCCTTCCCACCACTCTCTTTATATTGGAAAAGGATTTGTGGATTGGCTGGTTGGTGGCTGGTTTGGTTTATTCTTTGTATTGACTTCTGTCTAGTCACTGTTCTGTTGTTCTGAAGAGACACCGTGACCAAGACAAGCAATTCTTCTGAAAGCAAGTATTTAATTGGGGGCCTGCTTACAGTTTCAGAGGCTTAGTCCATGATCATGGTGGGGGCATGGCAGCATGCAGGCTGGCCCTGGAGCAGTAATGGAGAGCAACCTCCTGATCTGTAGGCTGACGGCAGAGAGAACCTGGGCCTGGCATGGGCTTTTTAAACCTCAAAGCCCAAACCGGGCGGTGGTAGCACACGCCTTTAATCCCAGCACTCAGGAGGCAGAGGCAGGCGGATCTCTGTGAGTTTGAGACCAGCCTGGTCTACAAGAGCTAGTTCCAGGACAGCCTCTAAAGCCACAGAGAAACCCTGTCTCGAAAAACCAAAAAAAAAAAACCTCAAAGCCCACCCACCCCCAGTATTACATTTCCTCCAACAAGGCCACACTTTTCTTTTCTTTTCTTTTCTTTTCTTTTCTTTTCTTTTCTTTTTTATTTTC